GGTTTAGGGTTTAGGGTTTTGCAAAATGGCAGAGAGGCGGTTCAGAGGGGGAGAAGAGGGGCCACGGTGCGCAGTGCAGGATCTCCAGGAGAAGTGTACTGTAGGGGATGAACTGTGCCGGACGCTTTCATCAGACTGCAATAATTAACAACTTATATACTATATGGGGTTCCTTGTTATAATGATACTATAAAATTAACAATGTTATTCTTAGGGTTTCTGATTATGGTTATTGTACAATATACCCCCAAGCCCTGTTCTAGTTATTAAAGCTTCTATATCAGGATGTAGAAGAATCGGGCTTCACAGAGGACCGTGGGCTTCACGCATGTTGACAACCATGTCAAGAAGGTGATGGTGCAATGGGATCGGACATGTCGTGATACAAGAGTTCAGGGAACTCATCGCCCAAGACAGCGAGAGCTTCGCTGATCAATGTGCAGAAGCTCACGTACAGTCCCTGACTGAGAGCAGGGATAGCCTTTGAAAGTGACAGGAACGACTACGTAAGCTTGTGATTGTTCATGGGGTAAAGCCCGTTCGCCGCCATCACTCCTCAGCATACCCCTAAAACCAAGGAAAAACTCTAAACCCTAAAACCTCAACCTTAAACCCCGAAAACCTCAACCCTCAACCCTGAAGCCTAAACTAAAACCTCAACACTAAACCGTAAAACCTCAACCGGTTGGGCCGGGCAAAGTCACCATGGCCTTAGAAAGACAAACTCTAGGCAGAGGGACCTTGTGTAGTGATTTAGAGGTTACGGTTTACGGAGGACCGCCAAAACGGCCACCAAATATCAGATTCAGGGCGGATTACTATGGATGAGGGACTTACAGCGGAGAAGCCATCGAGGCACACGATTAAGATAAAGCAGCTTCCTACGACTTCTGAAAAGTTTCGTCTCAAGCCACGTGCCACAATCATCCACGCAGCCATGCTTCAGCAATTCCTGCTGCCTTCGGTGGTGCTCTTCGTGCTAGCTGAAGGCATCCAGAAAGCAAGAAGCTCCCTAGACTAGACCCCTAAACCCTAGACTCAAAACTCAAACCCGACACCCTAAAAAAGAGAAAGTCGTAGACGAAATCATAATGCCCTGAACGAACCAAACTCACCAAACCCCAAACCCTGAACCCTACAGCCCAAACCGTAACAGGTGCTCCTCAATGCCCCTTTCAGTGTGTGCCGGGTCTTGAGAAGATGGGCGTGGGAGTAGACCTGGCGTTCTTCACCCCCAAGGCAAGTTTGCAGGGTTTACGGTTCTAGGATCAGAGTTTAGCGTTTAGGGTTTGATGGGTGTTCTGGGAACTTATGGATTTTTCATGGGTCGTCATAGGATTTCATAGGGTCTGCATCGTGGTTTTGTAGGTTTTCTCTTGCTTTCATGAGTGGTCAGGGTATTAAACTAGCTTTATAAGATTTCTTTCAGGGCCTGCCTTCATACTTAAGATTAATTATATGGGTAGTATTAGGGTCCCTTTTTGGGGTCCTTTGTATAAGGGTGCCGTACTATTTTGGGGACCTGAAAAGGGACCCTAATTTAGAAAACCACCCCTTTGATCTTAGGCTTGCTAGCATTGTTTTTCTAAGAGAAGTTACAGCGTGTGAGCGGGCTTTTTACACATTATGGAAGAATGCTGCCGTGTCTGCAGCAGCCTCATGTTCTTAGGTGGCATATAGGGGTCTCAGCAGCTAGGGATAGCGTTTTTTCTAGAGTCCTACATATCACCAAAAGCCCTATTGAAGCTATGAAGGCCCTTATATTGACGCTATAAAGCCCCTATACTGCTTGTTCGAAACAGCTGTCCCCCAAACTAGCCAACAACATAGGTTACGTTTTTAGCTAGTGTCTCCTGGTAAGGATCCGTATTCCCAATGGTCCCAAGCTTCAAAGGACCTTTTGAACGACCGCCAGGTGCAGCAGCAGGTGGTACCTCAGAAGATGCTGAAGCAGCGAGTTGTGAACATGACGAACTCCCGAGCGCAAGTGTGGACAAACCCTTTCGTGAACCAGACCTACGGCGTGTGGGATCAGGTGCCGCACTTCCGGGTCTCCCCTAAACCCTAAACCCTAAACCCTAAACCCTAAACCCTAAACCCTAAACCCTAAACCCTAAACTCTAAACCCTAAACCCTAAACTCTAAACCGAATGTCTGAAGGGCTTTCAGGCTTCCGCATGCTTCCGCACTTGGGCCCCGAGCCAAAGAGTCCCAGAGAACCCAATATCCCTGAATTAAGGAATATACCTTAAATTATAGGGGCCTTAATATGCCTTTAATTTTAGGGGCCTTAATATGCCTTAAATTATCGGGGCCTTAATTTATTTAATATGATTTAAGGTATATGCCTGAATTAAGGGGTGTTGGGTTCTCTGGGAAGATTCCGGTCTCCGGGTTCAAGCCACCTGGATTCATCGTGCCGGGGCTGGGTATCCGGGACAACCCTGAACAAGGGTTTAGGGTTTAGGGGTTTAGGGTTTAGGGTTTAGGGTTTGGGGTTTAGGGTTTAGGGTTTAGGGTTTAGGGTTTAGGGTTTAGGGCCCTAAAGCCCTAAGCCGAAGCCGCTACGGTAAGTCCTAAACTCCTAGACCCTCGAAAAAACGGGGGCTAAACTCCTAGACCCTATATAACGGGGATCAGGTGTCGGAGCTCTTCGTGAACAGCCGTTCGGCCCGCGATGCTTTCAAGTTCACCTTTCAGAACGACTTCAGCTTCCAGGAACCTGAAGACTTTCCTTTTCACGGGTTTCCATAAAGGGGTACTGTAGGAGTTTTATAAGGGCTACTATAGGGGTTTAGGGTTTAGGGTTTCCATAAGGGCTACTGTAGGGTGTAGGCTTTCCTTTTCCAGGGTTTCCATGAAGGGGTACTGTAGGGGTTTAGGGTTTAGGGTTCCATAAAGGGCTACTAAAGGGGTTTAGGGTTTAGGGTTTAGGTAAGGGCTACTATAGGGGTTTAGGGTTTAGGGTTTGTATAAGGGCTACTATAGGGGCTTAGGGTTGAGGGTCTGTATAAGGGCTACTATAGGGGTTTAGGGTTCAGTTTTTATTTATTTTTTATGAGGGCTGCTAGAGGGTTCCTTTTGAAGGCGGCAGTCGCAGGACTCAAGGTCTCAGGTTTGGAGGTGCAGCATCCCTGAACATGCCAAGTCCTAA